AAAAAGAGTTCTTACACAACCCAACAATAAGTGTGAGGAGCAGGTGCACGCAGTTCCCAGCTGCTTATCCCCACTGACTAAGGGAGTTATGCGAGGAAGAAAGGCTGTTACCTCTAAGAAGGCACTTGGTTCCTTCTGGGCCAAACATCTACTTTGGTTGTAACCTGGTTATTAGCAACTATTTCCATCCCTAGGAATTCTCTGATGAACCTACCTAGAGAGAGACTTAATGGACCCAGTCAGGTATTTCTGGTTCATTGGCTCTCTGGTAAGTGCTGGCCCTGGCCAACGGAGTGAAGCTTCCGTCTGAGGGATTGACAGGCAGGTACCTCGTTGTTCACAAGCAGTTTCTGCCATTTGCAGCTGTGCAGCTATTCCCAGGAATGTTCCATGTGTAAATGAAGTCAAATGCTGCAGGAAGGTAGAATAGATAAAAACTAATGTACCTGAATATCAATTATGTTCTCCTTGACCTCTGAAATCTTAATAAAATGGATTTGAGCACCTGAGCACACCTGTGGAAGTCCAAAGCCTTTCCCAAATCTCTGCCAATCCAATGGGTACATGGTTTTCATCAGCTCTGGTTCCAGGCTCTAAATCTCCTGAATTAGCTCAGTTTGGGGGACCTTTTTTCATGTTGCCTTTTCTCATTACCCAGTTATACCCAGCCTCTTTCTCACTCTGGCTATAGTGTGGAGAACCAATTAGGGAGTACAAGAGTGGATCTAGGGAAACATTTCAGGGGAGACCTGATGGTAGCTTTTGCTAGATTGTAAAATCTATGAGGCTGGAGATTTTGGCTTTGTAGGATGTATCCCAAATGCCCAACCAGTGCCTGACACATGGTAAGTGCTTATCTGTTCCTATGATAAGGAATCCTGGGAGAATACTAGCTATGGGGATGAAGATTATTTATTTGGTTTCAGACATGTTGGGTTTGAAGTAATTTTGCAACATCCATTGAGGAGATGTCAAATGGCCCGTTGGGTACAAAGGTCTGGAACTCAAAGGAAAGGTCTGTGCTTGCTATTTAAAGGTATAGGTCACATGTGTAGGGCTGACAATTGATGCTATTTGTGTGGGTACCATTGCCTAGAAAGTAAATACATGGAAAGAGCTTACAGAAAGAAGGAGTGAGCAGGGAAGCAGGAGGAAGAGAAGTCAAAGGAAGGAAGTGCTTGAAGATGGCAGTGGGAGATTGATCTCTCTAATGACACTGAGATGTGACTGCAATGGTGACTGGAAAATGCTTTTTGGATATAGCAGCATGGAGGGCATTGGTGACCAAGGCAAAAGTTGCTTTGGTTCCGTGACAGAAATGGGTACCAAACTTTAGGGGCCACAGGAGTAAACAGTCAGTGAGGAAATTTGGACAGTAAATATTAACAACTCTTAGAGCATTCTGGTTGAGAAAGGAAGAGAGAGACAGAACAGTGGGAGAAATGGGATATAGGTTTGAGGATGGCTAAAAATATAACCAAGAGAGGCCTAAACGTGGGAAAAGCTGATGGCAATGACACAGGCATGAGAGAGAAAGAAGGAGAGAGAGAGGGGAGGAGGGAGGGAGAGGGAGAGAGAGAGGGATCGGATGTATGATTAAATGGAGAATTAATATGTACAATACCTGAGAAGGAGTAAGGAAATGGAGTAACAAAGTGGAAGGATTAGTCTTACATAGGAGGAGTCTTAAATAGCTTCTCCAGTGTGACAGGAGAGAAGGGTGTATAAATGAGCAGGTATGTACGTTTAGATTAGGTAGGTGAGGCAATTTCCATTTGATGGTTTCATTCTGTCTGTAAAGTGGGAATTGGGGTCTGTCCTCCTCTGAGAGTTTGGGCAGAAAAGCGGGAAGGGGTAAAGTGAGAAAATGGAGAAGGCACATATCAGCAATCAAGGAGTCCTGTTGGGTGACTTTACAGCCACATTCACCTGTCCAGGTATAGATATGCAGAAGGTTGTTGGATCCATCTGGTGTTGGCTTTTACATGATGAGTGAGAAGAAGATCTAGAGGGGATGAAGGGGTTCAGGACATTAGCAAGAGTACCATTGAAATAATGGTCCAAAGATTCTAAAGAAGACATATCGGGAAATGATACAAGGAGAGAGTTGGTAGACTGGGAGAAGGTAGGGATCAATGGGCAGGAGGTCCCCAAAGAGTCAGAGAATGGCTGCCCTGAGAATAGTTGAATCAGCTGGGAGGCAAGCATGGTAGAGTTAAGAGTGTAGAAGAGAGGAAGGTAAGGCTCCCAGGGGAACCAAGCTGACTCAAGAAAATACCCTAGTATTTGGCTATAGGATTCCAGGTAGCACTGAGGCCATTGTGAATTTGCCACCCAAGAAAAATTATCCCTGTAACGCTGCTGTGATCACCTTAACAAAGAAACCTTTTCTACTATTGTGGGTCCAAAGAAAGTTCATAACTCCTTACCTCTCCAGATGTATTTACCACCCTTTTGAAGTATAACAGGGTTTTTCAGGGGTACTTTTCTCACAGTTATGTCTAGTTCAAGTGCTGGTTCTCCACAATGTCTTACTTCATCCTCCAGCAAGAAATCTTTTTCCTATTTTTTGAATTTCTGTGGTACTGCAGCTATATCTCAGATGCTTATCATTTGCCACTTTGAAATATAGTTACATAATTTATGCATAGCTCACCTATAAGACTGTGAGCCTTTGAGGGGTAGTTGGTCTGAAATCAGTATTATATCCATGACTAATTATAATTTGAATAAATGAAATAAATACATCAGTTCTGCTGCTGTCTCTGTCGGTCTAAAGGGCTGCATTCTCACACCTGCTTTTTATAGGTAAATGTCCTCTCCAACCTGAAAGGGCACCACCCACCCAGTGCTGGTGCTGTAATCAATGGGCTGTTGCAGAGGTTATATTATATTGTGTCAGTGTGTTGCTTCCCAAACTCTGGAGCTTCCCAGATGACATCTGAAACTGACCTCACACATGGAAGGTAATGAGAAACTGAAGAAAGAGGCAGAGCACTCCAGATTGGTTGGCGGCAGATTTAATAAGACACACAAGGCCTGTCTTAGGCTACTGCAAGGCCAGTAGATTTGTGTACCCACCCACCAGAATTTTAAAGGTTTATAGAGAGGTCTTATCTAGGCTCAGCTATATGTATCATCTCTGTGGTCTTCACAACACATTGCTGAGTCCTTGAAAATGGCTCTGGCTATGGGAATGGTGGGAAGAACATACATTCCAGTGACAGGGGAGAGAGTAAGGATCCTCTGATTGTGCTGGTCCAGGTCAAGGGTCATCTGGTGATCACGCCCTTTTGATGACGTACTCCAACACAGTGCTATGTTCTCTTACAGATCAAGTTGTAAATTAACTCTGAAGAAGCTCACGTTGGCTAGTAGATTAAACCAGGTGCAGAGGGAATGGATCAGTAAAGACATTAAAGAAATCAAGCCATTCTCATGCTCATGTCATATCTTTCAAATGTCTCTCATGGAGAATTCTTAAAATTATAGTATGTCATCATATCACAGTGCATGGAGTGAACACTGTAATATGTGTTAGTTAACAGAACTGATTCTGATGTAAGAGGAATAAAACAGAAATGGAGTATCACATATGCCTTGCAATTCAGAAGAACCCATCTATCAGGTTGTCTTTTTATCCATGGGAAATTATCAAGGACTGATTATGTCCAAGTGCCTGACTGTTATGTTAGAACGACCTCCTTCTTGATTATGGTAAGGCTCTATCTCAAAAGTCATTAGTTTTCATACTTTTGGGGGAGAACCAACAAAACTGGTGATGCATGGCTTAGGGAGGATGAAGACATGAGGAGTCTCAAGTCTCTGGGCTGTTGGGAGAGTGGAGCTTCTGTTAGCGCAAATATAGAAATCAGAGGAAGAACTAGTTTGAAGGTAGGGATACATAAGGAGATTAAATTGATTTTGGATGTGTTGAGAAGAAATGCTGCTAAGCACTAGACATTGAAAATAAATGATATAACTTGAATGTAAGTTCAGGACTCAGGAGAGATTCAAGAGACAGTTACATAGAGGTTATAGTTCAAGCTCTGAAACTGTCAGAGGAGAAAATGTAAAGAGAGTCAGAAATCTAAGAGACAACTGTGAGAAACTTCTTCATTAATGGGATCAGAAGAGTTGCTCATGGTGAGTGACCCAAATCACTTTAAATTCCATCTCAGACTGCTGTTGAAAAAGTCACTGCCCTCAGCTAGCCATTTACAGAGAGTGGATTTCCAGACATTGTTTTTGGCAAGAGACTGGACTTAACAAAATTTGAAGATTTGAAGATAAGCACTTTATCTGCACCGTCACTGTTGCATGCCGGCAATCTCTTACAAATTGATGGGCTGCAGGGGCAGTGTGGACAGCTGAGGATTCTGAGAGATTGTCATTGTTTAACTGGTCAATGGCTCTTTTTCTTTGTTCAGCTTATCACTAATATCTATTCAGTAATGTTTAATCTTGCTAAATTATTAATTGCTGAAAACTTGCTAAATTATTAATTAATGGCTGAACACTTATTTTGTCCAAATTCATGCAGATTTGGGTTAGTACTAGTGAGACAAACAACAGTGAAGTCTGGGTAATGTTCTGCCTACACTTACTCACCAATATTTTATCACTGTACTAGGCAGTCTTTGCTCTTAGCATTGGGCCACGATGAGTTCTTACCATGGTAACTCACAGCCCTTTGGAATAATACTAAATTGGCAAATATGTTTAAAAAAAAGTCAAGATGGAATATCATTAAAAGTGCATGTACTTCTGAAAAATATTTCAGACATAGATGATTTGCTCTGCCCTGAGTGTGGCTTTACACTTAATTATTCATTTATTAGTGGGATTTGATGATTAACCTCATTTCATGCCCTAAGGTACACATAGGAAAAATCTCTTAGGAATCCTGCTGCTCTGAATGGACAGCTGTGCTCTAAAATTTCATATCATTATTGAATTACTTTGCAATATTAAAACTGTGTTTCATTTTCCTCTTTTAGGTCTTGGAAGCTGATGATGATAACATGGAAGATGGTTGCTCGCAGAAGCTGGCAACTGCTAATATTCTTCGTTTCTTATTACTGGTCCTAATTCCATGTATCTGTGCCTTCATTGTCCTGCTGGTTATCCTGCTTTCCTTTGTTGGTGAGTGATACCATTATTAAATAAAAATGAAGTAAAAATTAAATTGGTGTGATTTATAAGTGTGAATTTTATTTAGTAATTATTTAACCTGAGGTGTCAACTCAATGAAGGTTAATCTGTTGACTATCTTATGCAAACCCTCAGTTTCAGCCACTGTAACCACTCTACTAGTTATCATAATTAATATTAATGGATTTATTAATTCAGACATTGAAGGAGTGATTAGTAGGTGCAGGACTTTAAATGTCCCTGAAAACTAAAGGAAGGTTAAATTAGTCCTTCTTGCTTAGGAACTCACCATTGAGAAGAGATGATTATTGTACAAGGTAACACATATTGATAATAGAGATAATAAAAGATACTTTGGGGAAGTCAAAGAAGGGTTCATGGGGCACTGATATTTTAACCTTTGAAACAGTTCATAGAAATTCAAGTGAAAAGGCAGTACATGGGTCTGACAGAGAAAACAGCAAGTGCAAAAGTATAACCCCATGAAAGATGGAGATGGACTTAGAAAATTGGGTGGGATTTTGGTAGTGGCAGACAGCACAGTTATATTGTTGAAGTCCAAATGATACAGGAACTTGCCTGTTGTCATTAGGGGAACTGGGCTTTAGCACCTGGTCATTGGTTTTCAAGCTCTATTCCATGAAATCAGGGTTCTGAGGTATCTCAAGGATTACAGAAATGTTTATTTTGACTTCCTATTTGAAAAAAATAGATCTTAAACACACAAACTAAGTATTACATACCAATTTTTATCCAAGTGGAGACCAGCAACCAAGTAATTTGTGCTGGCAAATTACATGTTTGGATCTTGCTATCTCTCTTTAAATAAACAATATTCTAAGTATAAAAGGTGAGCTGTTGGGGAAAAAAAAAAACCAAAACGTTACCTTTGGTAGCTGCCTGTTGCTATGAATCAGGATTGTTTTGACCATGTGCAAGTAAAACAAGTAACAAGATAATGCTGATCTAATTGCATTACCAGCGATTGAGAATTTTTTTATTGTACCAAAACTCTCTATTATTTTTTCATTGATTGGTTTATAATAAGTTGTACATTTACAACTTATAAAGTGAATTAATCCCAATAAAGTATAGCTTGTATTTATTTGTAGATATTGGGATCTTATATGACTTTTTTAGAAGATAGTATTTGTTACAAAATGCTGGAAAACCACTTCTATGGGTAGTAGTGGTTTACCATTGGATGATCTTTCTAAGTAGGGAGTAATCTGGTCATATTTGCATTTGCAAAAGACAATAGACCTGTATACTGCAGAGGATTGGAGGCAGAAAGAAATGAAAGCTAGAGACCAGTTTGAGGTGCCAGCTATGCTCTAAGTAAAAGATGATAAGGGGTTGAATTAAGGCATTTGGTACATTAAAATGAACAGAAATCAAGACTGATTGGGTTTTGGTGTGAGGGAGAAGGAAGAGTCAAGGTTCACTGTTAGATATCTGGCTTGGCAAGCAGCTTGATTTGGTGCCATCTGTTAATGTAAGAAGTAAAGGTAGATGAGTGGGATGCAGATAGATGGATAGCAGGTTGGAAGTTCAGTTTGGATGTGTTAGATTAGAGATACCTGTGGGAAAACCAAACACAGTGGAATCATGGTTTAAGTGCATTTATCATGAGCAAATTCAGCAGTGCAGGCTGGGGCTAGAAATGAATGGAGGAATATAAGAACTCTAACAAGTAGCCTTCCTAAGGGAATTTCAAGGGAAATTGTGACTATACAGTTGACCCTTGAACAACATGGATTTGAACTGCATGGGTTCACTTACACATGGATTTTTTTCAATAAATATATTGGAAATTTTTTTGGAGATTGGTGACAATTTGAAAAATCATTTTCTTTTCTCTAGCTTACTTTGTTGTAAGAATGCAGTATATAATAGTTGTTAATTGACTGCTTATGTTATCAGTAAAGCTTCCAGTCAACAGTAGGCTATTACTAGTTAAGTTTTGGGGGAGTCAGAAGTTATACTCGGGTTTTAAATACACGGAGGGGTTGCCATCTTTAACCCTGCTGTTGTTCAATGTCAGCTATATATAATTTTTGGCTTATAGGCTGACTTGGGAATTCAACTCTTATCCCACTGTTGTTCTGAAGCTAGAAGTGCCCAGGAGAGAAGCTGAGAAGGGAGTCCTGACTGCAGTTATGAAGGTAGGAGTCTCAGTGGTAGCTGAAGCAACAGGAGTAGGTGAACTGTGAAGAGGAGGTGTATGGACTAAAAGCTGAGGTCAAAGCCCTGGAGGATGTAGTGCTTGAGGGGAAGACAAAGAAAGAGGAGGAAGCCAGAGATACAGGAAGAATGGCCAGGCAAGAAGGAAAGGAATCCAGAAATGCTGGGTTTCATGGAAGCCTAGAAAGCAGAAACATGTCAGAGGTAGAGGGTGAAGAGTAAAAGGAAGTCAGAAGTGATGCATCTGCCATGGAAGAGGCAGGTTTCCTATTGGGGTTTTAGTTGCCCTGCCCCACGCGCCATCAGCTCTGGCTGCTCTCAGGGTGAAGATCGGGCAATAGGCTCAGACTTAGCTGGACCATTGTCTTCTTCCAAGACTCAACTCCCCTGCAGAGTTGGTCTGCTTTGATTCCTTTCCAATGCCTTCAGGTAGTTGTGTTTTGGTGTTTTGTCAAGGGTTGATAGTTCTTACCTCTTGGGCGGGTCTGTGTGATAGAAGCTCCCTCAGTGAGACCACAGTCATTTCAAAAAGTCTAATTCTTGTCCTGTGTTCAATGTCTTGCACACACTGAAGGGTATTTCCTTTCACTCTCAGTAGATTGCTAGTGTAGGTTTAAAACATACTTTTAAGTACTTCAGTGATAAGAGGCCTCTGAGCAAAGGATGTATGCTCTTGAAGAGTGTTTTTATTGGGTTATTTATTTAATTTTTATTTTTTTACAGCTATATCGAAGTATAAATGGCATACCATACAATTCACCCATTTAAAATGTATAATTCAATAATTTTTAGTGTATTCACAGATGAATACAACCATCACCACAGTCAGTTCTGGAGCACTTTCATCAACTCAAGGAGAAACTCTATACCCTTTAGCGATCTGCCACCCTCATTACCTTTCCATTTCCCTCCTGCCCCAGCCCTAAGCAACCATTAATTACTTTCTGTGTCTAGAGAATTCCCTATTCTGGACATTTCAATTTGTGACTGACTTCTTTCACTTAGTGCAGTATTTTCAAAGTTTATCCATGTTGTTATATGTATCAGTACTTCATTCCTTCTTATGGCCAAATAATATTCCATTATATGGATTTACTGTATTTTTAATCCTTTTATCAATTAATGTACATTTTAGTTGTTTCCATCTTTTGACTATTATGAATAATGTTGCTCTGAACATTCATGTAAAAGTTTATGTGTGGACATATGCATTCATTTCTCTTGGGTTTATACCTGGGAGTAGAATTTTTTTATCACTTATGTACACCTAGGAAGTGTACTATTTGTAACTGCTTCTAAGTGCTATTATGGCTTATATGTAGATAACCTTTGCAAAGTGGGGGTTTCCTGGGTATTTTCTTCACAAGCATTCTTTTCATAGGTTTTCCACCAGATAATTTGATACCCAAATATTCCTTGTTTCATAACTCAGATGTTTGTTGTAATGCACAATAAAAACATTTTATGTTTTTGTTTTTAAAAAACTCTTTGATTTGCTTAGTTTTAAAAATGTTATGTTTGTTTGAGTTTATAGCTTCAGGCTCTTTCAAAGTTTTATAGTTATTTCTGGGTTCAGAAGGGTTGCTAAGGGATCCTGGTAGGCCAGTTTTGTATCAGTAACACCAGCTTGAGTTTCAAAAGACAAGGAGATAATAGTGAGAAGGTTATTGATTGGGAAAAGATAATAAAAGCCTTATGCTAACAAACACAGATCCACGATGTGCCTCTAATTTTGTCTGTTTGGGCTCCTCTCATGAATGAAGTCAAGATGGTAAAAAGATTTCTGCAGATAAGAAAGTTGGATTTTGAATAATTATTTTGGTAGCAGGCTGTAGAAGAGAGCAGTGACGAATTGTTTCTCTCCTCAACCCCCTAAACTGATGGTGGGAGCTAAGGTTTAGTTTAGCTGAGTTGAGTTTAATATTTCTAAAGTTGGCAGATAATCTGAGCTGTTCCTATGGTTCCTGAGATTTGGACTTTAAAATAAAGACTCAGATTTTTGGAAGAAATTGAAGAGTGAGAAAGGTACAATATTATACTCAATTTTTTATTTCTTTAATTACAGTAAAAAACTGAAGGGCTATGTGACATAGAAGAATGAATTTATAAGTTGACGCCAGGAGACTCAGGTTGAGTGTCTTACTCCTCCGTTTGCTAGATGTGTGGATTTTGGTCAGATGCCTTACCTTCTCTGTGACATGGGGAATATAATTCTTTTTCATTTCACAGAATTGTTATGGAAGTCAAATGACATAATGTTTGTGAAAGTGTTTTTATAAAGTTCATTATGAAAGTAAAGAATTGCTTTTTGCTTATGAATATTATTTTTGATATCACATTTTAACAAATAGTTTTATTATACACAAAATTTACTAAAAATGTGCTTATTACATTTTAACTCTATCCACTAGAACTAAAGCCATAATCTATAACCCCATAACCCTACAACCATGCCATTGCTACAGTGTATTTGAATTGTCATTACAGTTGATAGGAGACAATAAATTTGACCAACTGTTGGATATGCAACATGATGACCAAGTTCCCATAGGTAACTCCTATGTAGAAGAAAGCCTGTGACAGGGGACCAAACCTGGTCCAAGTTGAGGGAAGCCTTCCCTGACGGAGCCGTGCTTTAAACATAACCTTCACAGTGAGAATGTTGGAGGGGGGTAGTGACATGTTTGATCTAATCCAGGCATTGAAAATGTGCCTTTGGTAGCTGTGTGGAAGGAGGGCTGAAGTGGATACAGTATACGGCAGGGAGAAAAAAGGGGCAGGTACTGCAGAAATCCTATAAATATGGT